GGGTCAGTGAGGGGCATCGTGTCTCATAGTGGGGCTGGCCATGTGGTAACCTGTTAACTTCCCTAATAAGCACTCATCGTTTTGTGTATTATCTATGTTTTATTTAGCCCTTGCAGTGGATTAGACAGCTCAACAACATTTTTTCCTCAGTGTCTTGGTTTCTAGGATTGTTTCTGGGGTCCTTTGGGGGTGTTGATTCAGAAAATTGCATTGGGTAGACCACATCGGCTCATTTCTTGGAGATGGCGTTCCACTCTATTTTCAGCTCTTGTCATACTAATGTACAAGTGTATCATCCTACCTTTAAATGCAAGAAGAATCCAGACCCACAAATTACAGGATAGGGAAACAAGGTAAATATATGAAAAAGAATTAGGTATTAAGGGACTTCCAAGGGAAGCTGTATGTGGAGCCACGGTGGCTAGCTGGTTACCCATTAAGCTGCCGATCCAAAGGTCAGTGGTTTGAACCCACCAGTACTCTTCAGCCTTTCAAAGATTTAAAGGTTTGCAAACCCAAAGGGGCAGTTCTTCTGTGTCCTATAGCACCACTATGAGTTAGAATTTATTCACTGGCAGCAGGATTTTGTCTGGTGTGGGAGGCTGTTGGATACTGCAAAGCCAGAACACAACCTAAGAGTGGACAATAAAGAATATTGAACAGGCACATATATGGAAGGTGTGAGGGCAATTTATAGTGTGTTGAAAATGGAAGACTTCAAAGTAATTTTTACAACTATTTTGAAAATATAAATTTTTCTTCATCAAATGATGTAGTAAACAGTTCAGAGCACATTTCGGTGTATAGAAACCCATGAATAATGCATGTTGTGTTCCGGAGATGAGGTTGGGTACAAGCTTCATTGAAAGAGAAATTCTAACTTTAAAGAGTTTCCATTCACTGGAGAAGCGGTGCCATCTTTAAGTAGACTCTCAGTGAGCTGAGTCGATGCTGACTCAGAGAGAACCTGCAGGGCAGAGTAGACAGGCCCCTGTGGTTTCTGTCGCTGTCTATGGGAGTAGAAAAGCCCCGTCTTCTTCTCTAGGACATATTAAGTAGAGGAATTGCTGCTTATATGGTATTTCGAGTCCCAACTTATTTTATTGGGAATTTAGTAAAGGTGTCCAGAGAAGACCACCAGTTTTACATTCAAGAACTCATTAAGCCTGCCATTGTCTTGCTCAGTTTCCATCATTTTTTATCCATCTCCCTCTTATTGAGGATTGTCTTCCCCTTCACCCAAGTTTACACTTGTTTACCCTCTGGCCTGTGACTCCCCCTACCTCCTATCCCTACCCCCTTTACCCTTGTAACCATCAAACTCTGTTTCTGTTAGTGGGAAAACCTTTTCTTGCTACTCTTTAGTAGTGGTTTCATACAGTATTTGTCCTTTTATGGTTGGATACTTTTACTCAGCAGAATGTCCTCCAGGGTCATGTTATGGAGTGTTGTACAGATTCGTCTTTATTCTTTAACACTGCGTAGTATTCATGGTACGTGTGCCCCAAAGTTTGTTTATCCCTTCTTCCACCAATGTCTTTCTCCCACTGTGCCCAACTAGTAACTACTACCCCACCAGGTGCCCTACAAGAAGACTGGAACCTTTCAATGTTAATAAAGGAGTCTCAACTCTGATAGACCCATTTCAAGTTTCAGTACATTTGAATCTGTATTTATCGTACCAAATTCACTAACAGTCAATTATGACCCATAGTAACCCTATAGGACAGAGTGGGACTTTTCCTGTGGGTTTCCGAGGCTGTAAACATTTATAGGTTTAGGGGAAGGAAATATATAAGAAGAGGGAGGGTGGTAAAATATGATGGAGGCAGAGGAAGTCACTTGGCAGTTTGAAAGAGTTAAAGGCAACAGAGACAAATCCTGGAGTATTGGTGATGTCTGAATAGATACAAAGTTATTCCGGTATGGGAAGGAGTGCTTACATACAACTCATGTCATCCTTCTTAGCCCCTTCCATTTGCCCAAAGGGTTCTTCCACAAAGCAGTGTATATATACACTCCTTCCCATACCTGGTCAGCTTTTTCATCTATTCATAAATCTATTCAGACATCACCATGATTGCAAGTATTGCTCCCATTGCCTTTAACTCTTTCAAATTTCCCAGTGTCTTCACCTGCCTCCATCATATTTTACTAACCTCCTTCTTCATATTCTACACATATCTATATGACAAAGGACATCTGTATATATATTTTTCTGAAGTCTCTCTATTTCTAAGTCTAGTAAAAACAAATGAACACATAGGAGAGTAAGTGTGGGCAAGTCATTCAATCTCTTGCAGGCACAGTATTGTCAACTATAAGTTTGAAGACATTGGGCAGGGTTTCTTCTAAAGCCCTTCCTACTTTTCATATTCTATGGTTAAAATTAAGCTAAGTAAAATAAATGCATAAAAGACCAACTAAATTATACACTTAAAAAGATACAAATTTTATCTTAGATGCACATAATTCCCTGAAGAACATCATATTCTTCCCTACACAAGAGGTTGTTAAGAAAATAATTTGTTGGTGACATTCAAATTGTTTATGTGATTATCTTCACAAATAATTAGATGGATTGGCATTTTTAAGCCCCTTTTATGCTTGAAATATAAATCAGGCCAAATAATGAGCGTAGCTAGAAAGGTCAGTGAGATTCTAAATCCAAGGACAAGGGCCTTGTTTATGATCTTCCTTAGAAACCACATGTAATTCTTTCCATGGCAGGTTTTCAAGGAAATATCTCTGGATTATAATTAGTTTATTTGATTGATTCCTCAAGTAAGAATTTTAATGTTATAATACTAAGTCATAAAGAAAAACCTTGTTATTAATCATAAAAGTCTCATTTCTAAATCTCATAAAAACAGATTAGTATCCAAGTAAGCAGAAGATTCTACCTAGTTTTCCTCAAGAAGCCTCTTTTGTGATCTAGATCTCATATTTCATGACTAATAAAAGTTTAAAACCTACTAATCTCAAGTAATTTATTTAGTATTCCAGGTTTTCTTTATGAAAATCAGAAACCATGAATTTGGATTACTAATAAGACCACACACACACACACACACACACCCAACTCACTGCCACGGAGTTGATTCCAACTCATAGAACTCTGTACGACAGATAGAACTTCCCCTGTGGGTTTCCAAAACTGTAACTTTGCATGGGAGTAGAAAGCAGCCTTCTCTTTTTCCTGGTTTTAAACTGGTAAATTAGTGGTTAGCAGCCTAAAGGGTAACCACAACATGCCAACTGGGCTTCTCTAAAAAGACGATAGTTGATGTAATTCATGGCATATTCCATTGCTAATTGAAAGTGATAGCGAATACCTTTGTGGAGGAATCCTTTATGTAAGGTGACATTCACTTAGACTCTCAATGAAAGAACAACTCACTGGCCTGGTGGGTATCTGAGGCTGTCAGTCTTAATGGGAGCAGAAAACCTCATCTTTCCCCCTTGGAGCAGCTGCTGGGCTCAGAGAGCTGATTTTGCAGTTAGCAGCCCAACTCACCACTAAGACTTAAGTTTGGAAGAGCAGAAAATACACAATTCATCGAACCACATATAAGCATGTAACTACTAACAAAATGCATGCCATACAAACACATGACTTTTATTCATTCATTCGTACTTTTGGTTCTTTTTAATAGAAATTAAATTAGTCACTTAATATACATAATGTAGTATTTGTTTTCCAATCTAACAGCTTCTGAACATTCACTTTTGAGTCTCATGGGAAATATAATTCAGCATCAAGATGTGGTTTGATGAGTGAGCAGGGGCAGCATCAACTGTACTTAACAGAGGGGGTTGGAGTTCATCTGAAGCCAGCAATGTGGAAGAAGAAACAGAGACCCACGACAGTAACAACATGCATTATTAGGCCAAGACTAAAAGCTATCCCACCCCCCACGGAGTTCTTCTACGCTGAGAGGGCGCACCAGTGAGCAGTACTGATTTTATCGGGATCCATAGCCGTAGTAGTAAGGTTCGTCGGGGCGGAATCCGTAAGCTGTGGCAGGGCGTCCAAGAATGCCAACTGGTTGGCCAAAGCCATCCATTCCAAGGCTGGAAACAGAAACAGACACTGTCAGTTGTGCTTTTATGACACATCTGCAATGTAGGTCACGTAAAGGGCCCGCGTTTTACACACCCACGATTCTATCCCTAGCAGGGGTGGTGAATGAGGTGGCTATTATTACCCCTTTTCCTAAATGAAGAGACCCATAAAATTATGTATACTGAAGTATTTATTTCCAACTATGTGTGTTACAAATGCTGGAAACCTCAGCCAGCACTAAGTACTAATTAAGACGAAGTGAAAGAATCAGAGCAGGAAAGTTTCATTTCATACATTATACACATATACTGCTCTCATCTCAGAATAGGAAGTAACGGATAGCAAGGGAGTAATGATTACAACAGAAGTGAGTACTGTTAGTGTATAATACCAGGATGTCCTTTTGATGGGAAGCTATAGGCTTAGTCCACTGTTTCAAGTGAAACAGTTTGATTGTTAGCAGTGAACCCTCAACCTGAGTCAAATCAAACCATAAGCTTATGATGGAAGGAGAAAGACAGGGAATTCTCCAAACTCAGAAGTTAGCTAGGCTGCATTTGCAGGTCCGACAGGTCCCTCAGATCACGCATTACTGAACACTACATGTTTTT